TGTAATACTGATGACTTTTTTACGTTTTGTTTGAAAATTAATCACAAGACAGGAGAAGTAATATTATCCCATGCTGGTCCGAATGGTATTTACAATCATGAAAAGATTCAATATCGATTTGGTAAATCTGAAATAGATTTATCAAGAATAGATTTTATTTATGTAAGTGCAGGAAATCAAGATGTTCCTATTCGTAATTTAATGATTAATCATGAGCCAATGCCTGAGTTGCATCCATCATTTGATAAAGATTTTAAAATAGATACTTCTACTGTTGCTACACATATTAATGATAGCACTCCTAAATCAAATATAAAACGAGCAGCATCTTCATTTCAACTGCCAACAAAAACAGAAAATGTGTCTGTTTTCAAAAGAATAAAGAACGCTCTATTTTGTTCTTCTATAAACGTTAATGCATCGATATCCAATTCACCAAGATCTAATCCACCAATACCCAACTCAACGATATTACAGGCACCATCAAAGGTTTCATCAAAATTACCTCCTTGTCGTGATTCTGTGTATTGTATGAATCAAAACTCGAAAGATCATATTAACAACTATTCCCATCCTTGCCGTTTTAATGAACTATGTCGAAATAAGGATAGTGAACCTCATCTTGTTCACGAACATCATAATGTTCCTAAATGCTCAGAAGATGAAAATTGTTTCCAACTAATAGATCCTGTACATCGTGCACAGTATCGTCATACAAGTTTACCTGATTATCTTATTCCATGTCGTTATCAAGACAATTGCTATGAAAAGTCCCCGAATCATCGAAAAAAATACTTTCATGGTGAATCATTACCTTCAATTAAAAGTAAATTCTTAAAACGACGTGCAGTTATTGATACAAAAATATCTGTTTGAAATCTTTTTAGAAAACAATACACTAACAAAAATGCATTCCGAAGATGCAACAAAAACTCATTTAACTCCATGTAGATATGGGAATCAATGTCGATTGATGAAAAACCAAGAACATATATCGAAATATTCACATCCTAATTCTTAATTGTTTCTATTTGAATGGCTAATATACAAATATATCTAGTTACCCATTCGACATCATAGATTACTATTGCTTCTTTAAATAAAACCTAGTAATTAACGTGTTGTTTTTAAGTTTTATTATGAAGAAATCCGAAATTCTAATGAATTTAACGTCTAAAATTTAAAAAAAAAAATATAAATTGAATAGAAGTGAGAATAAGCATTATTCTTTTCTTGAATAAATCTATAATCAAACAAAAACAAAATCTTTCGTTGGTAAATTTTATTCTAATATTAATAATAAAGAAGAGAGACTCCTATTATCTTTTACTATAAAAAGAAACAAAGTCAAAGTACAAAATGTTTATGGTTGGTTTATATTAATTACAATTGCTGAATACATTTCGATTTGAATAATATTTTTTGTAAATGTTGAAATCTGGGGAAATACTTTTGGATCTCCCTTCTACAAAGATATCATCAAGAAGTCAAAATAGACTTTGACAGACATTCTATCGAAACAAAAGTCTATCGTATTTATGTTAACTAATGACACAAGTTGAAATGATCAGTTAATACGTAAAGTAAACGAAAGTATATCAGTAAAAATGTCTCTTGTTTTTTTGAATAAATAGTACATCAAACAATCACTCAATCCAGATTATGCAACAATAATATAAAAGTTGTGTTATGTTTTAAATCCACAGAAATTTCTCTATCTCGTTCTTTATATACTTCTTTTTATAAAGATAAAGTAAGCGCTGTTCAATCAAGCCAGATCAAATTATAGTCAATTAATAAAGCCATAAAAATTAACCTTTTCAAATAAAGTTTTGATGTTTTATGAAACTTGATTGCTAATGAAGTTAAAGTATGTAAGAAACAAGAGGACAAAATAACTAATTTATGGTCAAAGTAACTCCATCTTATTACAGTTTGAACCCGTTGGATTATAAGAACTTACGTTTGATTATTTGACCTGGGCACATCGATCACAAAAATAACTAATGAGATTATTCTTTTTTTTGTAATCTTTTACAAAATTTAGAAAAATAAATCTAGAAAACAAAAGACTTCAGAAGAGTCTCTCTGTGAGAATGTAATGAAATAAACTCTATTTTCTTGTAATTCAGTGAATTTGACTCATTTTATAAAAATTTAGAAAACGAAGTATGTTTACTTAACAAACCAAATAGTATCGATCAGTTTGAGTAGAGAAAATTAGACATGGCTGACGAGGTACATTGAACTGATCTGGCTTTCACTCTTTTATAACCATACACAAATGGCCAAGATATCTTTATACATAATTTAATTCCGTTAGCTTCACAGCTACATACACATATACATAATGTATCAAATAAGGAAGTAATACATGTGATGTGAGATAATCCTTCATTTAGGCAACATGAGACTTAACGAAGTTATGACATAAGTGATGAAAAATCATTCTTATGATTGATGTAAAAAATTTATGCGAGAAGAAATTTTGAGTAGGAAAATTTGAATGATCAAGAACATTAAGAGAAAACAAAACGAATTTCTCACAATATGACTGTTTAACAAGAGTAACATGTAAATAAAGGACTTTGATAAATTTCGCCCCCCTTTGTATCTTATTTTTGTGCTGGTTGTATTTGAAAATGGATG